AGTTAGAGCAAATAACAATAACGCTTATAGCGGATTAAGTTGTCCTGCTGCTGAACAGTTTCCATGATACAGACAAGACTCTTGAATATAAGTGAATGTTGAGAGAGTTCATTTTTCTTTATGCATGCACGCACTTACCCTGCTTTGCTGAAAATATCATTTTGTGCAGTCCTTCGACACAAGTCACTTTGAGAAATAAGTCTCATTTCATTTGTTCGTTGACTTTGATAATCCTCCTGGAGCGGCAAATGAAGTTTCACTTTTACATTATAGGTTTGACACTTTGACTGATATTATGAGATGGGTGATGAATCTGCCTTGAGTACATATTTGTTGTGGCGATTTCCAAAGTGAATCACAATGTCTTAGATGTGAACCATGCTTAGTCATGGTTGCCTTTCTGCACTGAGTAAAGATTGGTTGTGGGCAACTCTCCGAACTGAGAATTACAAGGTCCTAAAACGCAATTATGCATAGTCATGGTTTCCCGTCTGCCTTAAGTAAAGTTTGGTTGTGTTGACCATATCTCACAGATTGGGTGTAGTGTGACATGCAGAGGAAAGCTACAGATGTTGAGTCTCTGAACTCGTAAAAATGGTATTGGTGCAATCAATGAGGTCTGGTTGTACAACTGAATCCAATTTGGCCATATTAGCATGTTTTTATCTTGCCTCAATATTCATTGAATCTTTGCTTCCATTTGTGGGCCTTTCCAAGGATATATTGGTTTGTTGCAAAAGTTTTGTGGGATATGTTCTAATTGGATAACTAGATTTGGGCCCGCCCGTTGGTCGGATGCATTTTATAAATAGAATAAATAACAACAACTATCATACAAAGGAAAATATATTTTTATTTGGTACTATAAAAAATACAAATAATTGTTGAAAAATAAAAAGAAACTTAAATTATAAAGTTTTGACATCCCAACTGATTGAACGAAATTTGCAATTGAAAGTAAAGTATCAAACTCATTTTAGAAAACCGACTCCTAAAAACATAATCAAATAACACTTCAATTACTTGTCACTGTAAAAAAAGTATAACATATTTCATTTTGGAATCTCTTGTGCTTCATTTAAAGGCTAAAAATATAAAACGCTTCCAAATTTGAAATATCATTTTCAAATTTAAATGTAAGACGAAGGCAATTAATTAGCTTGACAACATTGTCATCGTTTTACCTTTTAATATGGAGGATGCTACCTTCTCAAATGGACGATTTTTAAATTAAGATTACTGTAAGATTAGAGATGGAGTGTTACCTAATCGTTACAGTGTTTGTGTTATTGCACAATTTCCACGAAAAATACTCGTCATAATCGTTTTTTATTTTTTCGTGAATAGGTTTCAATTGTAGCATTGCACAATTCATTTCTAACTTTTTACAAATTTGTGGTGGATGCAATACACATTATCATGATATTATATAAGAAGTTTGAATTTGAATATGAATTAGCATCTATCTAGATCGCAACTAACATATACCTCTTCTCCATGCTTGATTTTCATTTCATTAGACTATTGAAATATTTTGGTGGTAATTGGTGGATGGATTCACGCACACCCTTAGACTTAATGAGTTTTTCATCCTTCTATTAACCATCCATCCATAATCATGTGTTGTTGTGATTCTATTTCAGTCGATTGGTGTTAAACTGCGAGCTAAATGCCACATAGCAGGCAATTCAAAACAGCTTAATTCACCATTCATCCCTAAACATGTGTTTGTTGTGATCCTATTCATAATCGCATAGATACTTGTATCGGGACTAAACTATAAACATCCACACACCTGCATAATTCTTAACCTAACATTTGATTAATGTCAACTATAATTACATACATATTCCCAATACGTGTAATAATTACTGCAATATGCTTTGATTTTTTTGGCTTTGTTTAATTCTTTCCTCGGTCAATCTGAAATATAAGCAGCTTTCATTTTTGCTTTGTTTATTGTTTAATTGATTTCAGAAAGCTGGCTTGCTTTGTTTTTTTCTTTTGCGCTTTTGCTTTTTTGGCATTGTTTATTGACGTTTCCATGCCCAAATGATGTAAGGAAATTAAAGCATTGAGACCCGTTAATATCCAAGAAGCCCATCTGCTGAATATAAAAAATAAAAAAGTAAAAGACCAAGAGACCCTTCCTTACTATGCGCACAAGCAAGGAAAAAGTGAATGAGTTGGGTGCCAAAGGAGAATCCCCATATGTGGATTGTTGGATTGGATTGGAGGATTGGATGTTGGATTGGATGTTAGATTTGTGTTAGTTCTATATACAGTTGGGAACGTTGTATTAGGCTTACCTTATTGGGCTCTTAGGATCTCGATTGTTCGCTGTAAAAAATATGGGCTTTTCCTTGACGTCCTCTCCTGCTCGTTTTTGGGCTTTTGAAAATGACGAGGTATGTTCATCACATATGTTTCCGTGTACAGATGATGGCAGTCAAGGTTAGAACTTGCAGGCTCACACTGTAAGCACGATTCTTTAACCATTGAATCCAAGCTAAGTTGGAAACTCGGGGTCGGATACTGTGCTAACCCCCTAAAGGGTCTGTTTTTTGACACCCTCTTCTTGATTGGTCATTTTTCCATTTAATCATTTGGTAAGTTGTATTAAGGAAAGTTGCTTTTTATTTTATTTTTTTGTAATATTGTAAATTGGGAAAGCCTTAATTGTGATAATAATTATGAATGGGGAAGGAGAAAAATGCTGGAGGGGGAAAGTGCCTTTTCAGCTCTCATATTCCCCATATTCCCTCCCGAAAAAATAGAAACTCATCCCTCTCCTCTGCAGAACTTGAGGATGGCCCTCTCCTCTGCAGAAATCGATGGCGCCCGAAAACCATCGAGTTGCTCGTCGACGGTGGGATCGCCTATGACCTTCCTGGTGGGGTGCTCTTCGCTAAAGGACGAGACACAGGGGATGAAGAAGAACGTGAAGAAGAACACCTGGGGGGTTTCTCGTCGGCGAAGAACCCGTCGGAGATGAAGAAGAATATGAAGGGCGGCGGCAGAGATGAAGAAGAACGTGAAGAAGAACACCTGAGGGGTTTCTCTTTGGCGGAGAACCCGTCGGAGATGAAGAAGAACATGAAGGACGGTGACGGGTCGTTTCTTACCGCTCCCTGTCATGAAGTTCAACCCTACAACCTCTGGGAGACGGCGACACTCCCGTGAGCATGTACCACTGATATAGTACAACTACCACTAATATGGTATATGTATCACTGATCTAGTACAAGTACCAATGCAACTATTCAAGCCATACTTTCCACATCAAAAGGTGACCATCCACTTGTAGTGTTAGATACATTGCACCTGTACAAAATCGAAACTCATTCTAAATGTTTCCATTTCAGTGTTAGATAGACTTTGGAGTGGTACCATTGAAATGATACATGTATCACTGAACTGATATACCAGTGAACTGATACATGTACCACTGAACAGATACACGTACCACTGAACAAATATATGTACAACCAATTCGATACGTAAACAAACCAGCAACTTCCCATTAGTATCACCACTAATCGTGGAGTAGAATGTGTTATCAAAAAGAAAAAATGCCAACAATAATAAAATATTCAGCCAATGCAACAAATAAACATGAAGTCACTATGAAATTGTTTGTGGGAAGTCTAAACCAAGGGAAATCAAGTATAGCCTCTCTATCCTCTGAACCGCACGTTGTTTTTTGTCGTTCCCTGTCGTGAAGTGCAACCCTATAGCGTCTGGCAAACGACAACACTGTCGTGAACATGTACCACTGATCTAGTACATATACCAATGAATTGATACATGTACCACTGAAGTGGTAACTTCATACAAGTAACCGTGCAACAATTCAAGTCATACTTTTCACACCAAAATGTGACCACCCACTTGCAGTGTTAGATATAATGTACTTGTATCATTAGCAAAATCGAAACTCATCCTAAATGTTCTCATTGTAGTAGATATACTTTGGAGTGGTACCATTGAAATGGTACATGTATCACTGAACTGGTAGATATACCAGTGAACTGACACACATATCATTGCACTGATACATTAACCACTTAACAGATACGTTTACTACTGAAAGTATATATGTACAACCAATCTGATACGTAAACAAACATGCAACTTTCCATTAGTATCACCACTAACCGCGGAGAAGAATGTGTTCTCAAAAAAGGAAAATGGAAATAAAAAATAATATCCAGCCAATGTAATAAAAAAAATGAAGTCACTGAGATATTGTTTGTGCGAAGCCTAAATAACGACAGATTAGGTGTCGAAGGATGACTGGGTCACTTGGGTAATGAAATGGAAAAACAAATTTGAATTATAGAGTTGGGGCTACACTTCTTGCCGCTAAGATAATCAGTACGTTTCCTCTTCCCCCTAACTTGTTGTCCATTATCCTGGATTTCACGAAACCGCTTCTTGCTGGTACCCGGACTCGAGAAATGATCCTGACCTAACATATTTTCTTCATTACAAAAACACATAGCTTCCATGCCTCTTCCCTCTAGGCACTCAAGGATACGGTCTCTTCATCCTTGCCAGTTCTGTAGACAATAATTAGCACTATCAATGCAGTGATAGAAATACGAATCAATAAGTAAGACAACTATCACTACAGTGGTAGAATTAGCAGTACATTTTTGCACCTGCTGACTCCCTCCGAACACCTGCAAGAAGTATCACTGCATTGGTAAGGCATATCACTTCACTGGTAGAAATACCACTAGACTGGTAAGACACATCACTTCACTGGTACAAATACCACTTGAATAAAAAGTTTAACATTGATAACATTCAACAAAAACTCAAACACTACAATTATCATTGCAGTGGTAACATTACCACAAGAAAAAAAAAAGATCTTAGTGGGTATGAGAGAGAAAAACTAGACTGATAAGAAATAGTTAAAAAATCTCAAATCTAGAAAAATCCAGGATAATGATAAACTACGAGTACACTGGTACCAATACCAGTACTCACATATGAGTACAATCATATACTACCAATTCACTGGTATCAATACCAGTTCCACACCAAAAACCCAGATCTGGGTATGGGAGAGAGAGCTACCTCAGATTCTTCGTCGTCGTCGTCGGGAAGGGGAGGATGGCCAGTGTAGGAAGGGGAGACGGGTCATCATCTTTGTCCCGAAGGTGAGGAGGGTCATCGTCTTCTCCGCCGATCCCTTCACAGTGTCAAGCTTGTGGAATGAGATGGAGAGTTACGGCAAGCTTGGCGTTGCTCGGAGAACAACGACAATCACCATCTAAGATATAGCCCACGACGGAGGATGTGGGACGGAGCCGGAGGGAGATGTAGACTGTGACGGTGAAGAGGCGACGACGGCGAGCAGGGGAAGAGGGAATCCAGAGAGAGAGGAGGAAACGAAAGGGAGAGAAAAAAAGGGGGAGAAGAAAAGGGTTTCAAATTGGGGGTGGGAACCGTTTTTTCCCAGATTCTTTCTCTTTTCCAATGTGGTGAGAGAAATTAATTATGTAATTAATGTCTAAAAAAACAGGTGATTAATCCTTACCATCAGTGTTATTAAAGCCGAACCACTCGGCCCGACCGGTAAAACCGCCATCCGGTCACAAAAACGGCTCGGAACAGTCAAAAAGTCGCTCCGGTTTTATGTAGCGGTTGATGAGCGGCCGAGGCGGTTAACCGCTCGAGCCACTCGTCCGGTTTTTGTCATTCACCCGTTAAATTTAATTAAAAAAATTGCAGAAAATTGAAAATTAAAATAAACCAATAACGTCTGGCTCTCAAACTGAATCCTTATTTCCATTTCACAATTTAGAAGGAAAGAGGCGAGCTCTGATTAAGAAATGTCTACTATTTATACTGATAAAGTTTATTAGGTACCAGTTCTCTAACGGTTTTTAAACGGTCTAATGCCGGTTGGACCACTAAAGTGCGAGCCGTTCGCATTACCGGGTCATGCTCCGGTTCGATTCTGACAACATTGCTTACCATTGTATTAGATGGATGGTATTTAAGAGGGGTGTCAAAAATCAAACACCCTTAAGAGGGTAGTCACGCTAACCGCTCCTTGGAAACTCACTACAAATGAGTGAAGCTGGTGATTGGTTGTGGATAATCAACATCTTTCTCGGGCTTAGTGAACGGACATCAGCACAGCAAGAGCAGCGATTCGAACTCTTCTTAGTTACATTCCTCTCGTGCGTGCCAAAGTCCTATTGCACCAGACTATTGCCAACAAAGGAGAGAGGATACACGAGTCCGGTGTTGTGTCCTTGTGCCCTAAAGGAGCTGTTGTCGTGCATATATTTCGCGGATTATAGTATTATTTTTGCAAGAACTAACTATGAAGAACAAGACTTGAAGCGTAATCCTGGCAGTCGAGAAAGTAAAAAAAAAAAAAAAAACAAAGGCAACACTAGTTGATCTTTCTTGGTCAATCCATTTGCTGACAATGTAGTCGATCAGCAGTGGATCAGCAAGCCGAAACTCATTGGGCAGACTTCCTCTTGATTTTTCCCAACTAATGGTGTTTCATTGGCGAAACTCGCGTGTTCAATGCGCACTGTATTCAAGTAAGTACAAACACAAAATCAGCAAAATCGTCAAATATCCGCCGCCGAAGTCGGCGCCGTTGATTTGATCGATTAAAGCAGAAACCAAGACGATCGTCAAATATCCGCCGCCGGTATCGGCGTCGTTGATTTGATCGATGCAACTTTGACCTCTAATCAAACAACCGTTACTCGGTTCACCACCTCTCCAAACTATGTTCGAACGAGGGTGTTCAACGAGAAACGAGAAACCAAACCGAGAGTATTCTGATTTACGTTACCTCTACTCCTATGGAGGTTCCTCTGGAGAGCTCCGCGACTACGACTACAAGCTACGACTACGACTATGCAAAGGAGGTCTTTGACAGAGCGGTTCTACGAAAACTAGAGAGAAAACGATAAATTCTACGATGGTGCAGTTGTGATTTGATTTTGCCCTCTCAAACTTCTCTCTCTTCCCAATCTTTATACTTCGCGCTTCTCCTCGTCGTAGTAACCGCCTTCGCGCCTTTGTCTTCCCACGTCTTCACTCCTGTCAACCGTGCAGGCAACTTCCTCCTTGTTGCGTAACTCCCACGAGTGCGAAACCGCTTGAGCACGTGGCAACTTGGTCCAAAACGACACTGAGCCGAAATCCACCATTGCTGAACTCTTGTCACCGCGACGTTGTTTTTAATTAAACAACACCGTTTCAGTACCGCGACGGTGTCGACCTACCACGATGTCGTTTTCGGCTAAAGCGACACCGTCTTACCTGATCCTTAAAATATTAATTAATTAAACCGGCCATCATTGTTGACACGCTGTCAAACTCTCACTCCGCGGCGCCGTTCTTAATTAAACATCATCGTTTTCTATTTCTGCGATGCTGTTGAACTTTGCGATGCCGCTTTAAATTTAACGTTGTCATTTTAACAACTGCGGCATCATTTGGCCCACTCGCGGCATCGTCTTTAAATCCGCGGTGTCGTTCCTTCTTCTTGCGGCATCGTTTTCAACTAATGACACCGTGCTAAAAAGTCATTAAAAATATTAATTAACTAATCTGGCCATCACTAGTCCACGACCAACGACATCATTAGCGCCAAAACGGCTCCGTTTGTTTTCCTTTTGCGACATTGTTTTTTATTAAACACTGTCGTTTGCTTGTGATACCGTTGGGCTTCCTCGCGGTAATGTTTTTAATTCCGCGGCATCGTTTTAGCTCCCCTCGGTGCCGCTTCTTCCAATTCAACAAGGAATAAAATAATAATTAATTAGAGAAAACTCCTTCTCCAATACCCACGCACGGCCCTCTTGTTTTTCGGTAAGCGGTGTCGTTTGCAGTACCGCGGCACTGCTGAGCTTTCTTGCGGTACCGTTTTAGTTCTCCGCGACGCCGCTCGACTCCCAACGATACTGTTTTTTACGCGCGGTATCGACTTAAATGCCGAGACTAATTAATGCGGCATTTAATTCTGGTCGAATTAATTTTAGGTGTCAACAAATGCCCCCCACAATTTGGTTTATAAGAATTATGAACCAAATTGTTGACCAAATAGTATAACACCTAAAATACTTGGCTCAAAATGTTTAAACGAAATAAACACGCAGGCCAAAGTTAGCAATGAAGTCTTTAATTACCAATTATATAATCCTCATGCATGGCGAAATGATTTTGGCCACAGTATTGCGGCTAATTGCAACAACGCGGCCACGCGGCCAAACTTCTCTTTCTTTTTTTTCTACCAACGCTGGCAGCATTAATTAATAACAATAATATTTTTTTTATATATCAGGGCTGCTGGGAACAGCCGCAGGGCTGCATGAATTTTTATTTATTTATTTATTATTTATCGCTACCAGTGCTGCATACCAGATGAGAATATTTTTTTCGTTCCTTTCTCATCAAGGAAAGTAAACAAATCTCTAGATCTTCCTTATGGTGGAAAGACTTCAAAGTAACCCTTTTCCATACCGGTTTGGGCATTTACTCTCATCCTCTATAAATAAGCAGCCTTGCTACCCTCATAATTACCATTCATCACCGTTGAATTTCGGCAAAGCTCTCCACCCTGCCATCGACTCTTCCTCGAGCACGCAATCCTAACCTTGTCAACACACATCAAGGCCCCAACATGGCTCCTGGCGGTCGAGTACCTCCTCAAATCCGGTACTTAATTTTTCACGCCAAACTCTTTCTCTCTTTTTTCCGGCGCCCCCCCTCTTCTTTTTATTATTATTATTATTATTTATTATTTTTCGGCGCCCTTGTATATGTTATGCAACTTGGCATGTGACCAATGTAAATTACTCGTACCTTTTCATTCTCGCTAGCCGATGTTTGTGCTTTACTTCCTGTGCGGCATGCCTCTATCTTTGCTGCTTTCCTTGATTATTCCATGCATGCTCCATACGTGCACCGCCATGTACCCAACTGCCCTGTCTTTCTTTAAATCGAATTACTCCCCCGCCCTTTAACTTTTACTTGTTGGCCTCTTCTCTTGACAGGCCCCCTCCAGTCGACCTCGCAGCTCACGTATGCAGTATTGACGATCCACAGGAAAGATGGAGGAACCTGGATAGCTCTCACGCCATCGAACTTGACACTCTTTCACTAACAGACAAAGGAGAGGGATTGCACGGTCCTGCTATCACCAACCCCGGCGATCCAACCATGGACGATCTGAACATTTACCCCACTGCTCACGCTCGTCTCCTCCTTCTTTGTTCACCCACCGACAATCCATACTTCACTCAACAGAAGCCGAAACGACCTCTATCTTCATGGGTTCTCTTCGACAAGGACTTTGTGAGATGGTACTCTCGCCTGCTCGCTAATGAAACCACTGCTGCTCAATGGAGGGACGCAGGCATAGATCGCTTCTTGTCTCTCTGCGCCAATCTCCCCCAACCAGATGTAGATCTATTCAAGGCTGCCATATGCTTCTGGTCCACCGAACCCAACAGTTTTGTATTTCCACTGGGGACCATGACCATCACCCTACTGGATCTTGTCACACTAACCGGTCTCTCGAGATGCCGACCTCCCGCCGTTGCTAGAACACCTTTCATCCCCAACAACCCCGGTCACTTTGATCGCTCCTATCGCTCTATTTACAACACTAATTCCCCGGCGGACCCCGCGGCACCGGTCACGGACAAGGAGCGAGCATACTTCATTCACTACTGGCTAAATAAGTTCATTCTTTGTCGAGGCGGCAGCAAACTCGTGCAAGACACCGAGACTTCCTCTGAGATTTCTGCTGGAAGATGCATCAACCTTGCGGAGATCGTACTGTGTCATCTCTACCGGGGCATGTTTTGACCGTCAAACAAATAAAAAGGGCCACTGCGAAGAGGGAAGTCACCGGCGCAGGCCCCCTTTGGCTAGTGCAGCTGTGGTTATATGCTTACTTCCCCGCCGTGCGAAGTTCGTTGCCAGCGCCCGTCAACATGGTCTCCGATGTCGGGATCCTATCCTACGGCCATTACTATGCCAAAGCTGTTCCACTAAAGAAGGACTTCTCCATATACTTCCCGATTTTCTACAAGGCCAGAAGTATAGAGAATTTCACCCCTTTTGAGGCCCGATTTTTTGGACCTCCCTCTTTCAAACTCGTTTTTAGCCAAAAACCAACAGGAGAGGATGGCTCGCTTGACGATTAAAACTGGTACATGGAAGAATGGGCTTGTTGGATAGTGGCTAGAGACATGCTTTTTGCCCCTAGAGCTTCGGCCGATCTCAGCATCGAGGTCTACAACCCACACTTTTCTTCCCGCCAGTTCGGATTGGTGCAACAATGGCCTCTTGCACTTGCTTTCTCGAAGAATTACCCACGACTGTATACTCGGATAGCATCACTCACTGCGCAGGGCATCGCGGACGTGGAAGCCTGCCGGGACTTTTTGCTTCCCAACGCATTCAAGCACTTCAATGCAACTGAGGGTGCCGTGACATCGCCGTATAGGTTGGCCTGGAATACGAAAGAGTTTCGTTACTTCAAAGAACCGACGACCAATGTCATCAATCGCATCACCCAGTGCGGGCTCGACGGACCTAACGATAATGATGGCGATGTATCTCCCAATCCTGATTCAGCCAAACGCCGAGCATGTATGTACCTACTACTTATTTCGGTTATTATATATATATATTCTCTCTGCGGGCCTCTTCTTTAGCCAATTTACACGGCTATCTTTCCCGCGCAGCTTGTGGGAAACTTTCTGGTGATACTCGCCCTGCCAAACAGAGTCGTCCGGTCACCCCTCTTGAGGTAATTCCTTCTTCACGGCTTCCCTTGAGAAACCCGTAGCATTCCCTTCGTTTTGTCATCACCTCGTAGCTATACTTGTCATGCTTCCGCTTTTCTTTCCTGGACTAGGCGCCCTTTCAAGCAACCCACTTTCTTTGTAGGATCAAGGGGATGAGGAATCCGATGACGAAAACGACTCTACCTCCGATAGCATGAGCATTGAATCCGAGGCTGACTCCGACGATGATGGGGACACCTTAACAGATTCGACTCCTGATCTCAACAGCCCTGCGGGACAGGCTAGCTATTCAGAGTCCGATTCTCCGTTGAACAAGAGCTCTGGCCCACTACTGACGGCCGAGCGCGAAGGCACCCCTGCCCCCTCCATTCAAGCTCGGACACCGCTGGCCACTCCTGTTAGCCTTGCCCTTACTTCTTCAGGCACAAGAAACACCACCAGTATTGCTCAGACCATCTCACCTCTCCGACCCGCCAGCTTCGTTTTGACAGCTACGCGCACCTCCTCCGCTAGCACGACCCTACCATCTTTCACATCCTTGGCAGCCCGATCGTCTCCATTCGCCGACATGTCCCGGTCCGCTCCATCTACCGTCGGTGTTACTTCACCGAACACAGCAATGACGGTAACCCTAACTACTCATCCTTCTTTATAGTGATCCTTTCTTCGAGGTGATATTTGTGACCATTCTTTCTCTGGTTTTGCAGGCGCAGCCAGACCTGGAGACTGCAGGGCAGTTCTTCGCCTCCTTGGCTAAAGCTCGACCTCCACTCTCTACGGAGGTCCACCTTGATCCACGAACCCAAGCCATAAAAGACGCTATCGTCAAGATTACCCAGTTTCTCTCTCTATCTTTAGAAGAAGCAGTTAATCCTCCACAACCAAGCGAGCTTGAATCAGCTTTTTCTGTATTGGGAGGACTAGGTGCTTCCGAAATCCTGCCTGGACTTGGCCTAGAAGAGACAGTACGGCCAAGCGAGCTCAACAACTTGCGCAAAAATACCTACAGTGTGCTCACAACGCTCTCGAGCTGGAAAAGAACAGTGCCGAAAGAGGATCGGCCCTTCAATCCATCAAGGCGCAGCTCGTTGCCAACACCGCGCGCTTCAAGGATCTATCCCCTCAATACGATCCTCGATCTCAGCAGTGCGCAACTCGTGAGCAAGAAATTTTGTCAGATGAACTTAAAATTGCTGCGATGAAGGCCGAATTGATCAGACTCGAGGCGGACGTGCATGTCAAGAAAAAAGAACTGGTCGGAGATGTCTCCCAACGCACAGCAATTCAGGCCTCTATTACAGCTCTCACTGTTGAAACTCAGACACTAGCGGCGCAGGAGACAACCTTGGTCGATGACAAGCATGAGATCAAGCAGGCGCAAGCCGTTCAACTTCGGCAAACAACAAGAACCGGTCTTGACACCTTGCGGGCGGAACTAGCCTATATTGCCAAGCATCTCAATGGCTAGTAGCTTTAGTATCTCATACATTTACTTTCAGCCTCTATTTATTTCGAACTGAATTTATTTTGTTTCGGCATGCTCGTGCGGCCGCTAATGTTTCTTTTGCACTCGGTTTGCTCTCTTGAACAATCGGAATTTTTCTATTTTAGTTCATCATCGATGCCGAAAAATTTTCTCTACTCGCACTGATATTTCAGTAACCACCATTGTTCTGGCCGGACTTAACAACGCAGCACTGCTTTGGCGTTCCAAACAATGGCATTTCGCCATATTATTAATCCGCAATGCTAGCTCGACAACGCTATTTAGGCCAAAGAAACAGTCTCGTTGCGAGTTGCAACAGCTACGCAGGACTGCAACCCTGTTTAGCTCAAACCGATCGGGTCTGGCTATTAACCATTTTTTTGTGTGTGTCATGCCTGTTAAATTTCCGCTACAGCCGCGATATTGCTTGGCCCGTTTTTTCTTTTCCGCCATAGCTGACTGCAACAGCGGCAAGAGAAATTTCTTATTTATTTATTTAATTTTTTTTTCAACTTCCTCATCCGCGTTGTTTACCCTGCTGTCAACCAAGTAATTTTTTTTTATATTTTTTCACCAGCGCTGCTTGCACCAGCGGTAGCTCTGCCTGCAACAAAAAAAAAAATTTATATTATTCTCCGCCAGAGCTGCTTGGAAACAGCGGCAGAGCTAAATTTTAATTTTTTTTTCGCCAGGGCTGTTTGGCACGGCCGCAGAGCTGAATAAAAAAAAAAAATTTGCCAGGGCTGTTAGGCACGGCGGCAGAGCTGAATAAAAAAAAAATTTTGCCAGGGCTGTTTGGCACGGCGGCAGAGCTGAATAAAAAAAAAGAATTTTTGCCAGGGCTGTTTGGCACGGCGGCAGAGCTGAATAAAAAAAAAAATTTTGCCAGGGCTGTTTGGCCGCCCTCTCTACTTCTTTTCTTTTTTTCAGCGCTGCTAGCAACAGCGGCAGCTCTGCCTGCAATTTTTTTTTTATTACAACCAGTCTCGCGGCGTTGATTTTGGGGGAACAACTCTACTTGTGGCAGAGTCACACTGTAGCGGCCCACGAACATTCTGTTTAGGCCCAAAGCTGCTTTACTAAATACCAAAATTTTTGTGGCAATCCTCTTCTCGCCAACCGATGCGGGTAGAATCCTTTTCCTAATCCCTTCCAACGTCGTAATCCTAAACCAAAAAGGACACTATTTCTTTCCACTCCGCCGCGGCAATTCCCCATAAATAGGTCACGAGTGCCAACCCTAAACTTATCCGAGTAAAAACAAAGCAAAACTTCCACCAACAACGATTCACTGAGCAGAAAACCGTACCTCAGATTTCTGCGCCGCTGAAGTCACCGCCATGTCATTGCAAGGATTTTTGTCGATCACCGAGTAAGTTTTGCGCTCTCATTGATATTGAAGCCGTATCGCTCCCCTTAATCGTTGTCATTGCTAGCCGTTTATACGCCTGTTTTAGGTCTAGCGAGCGGCCACCACCGCATGTATGACCATCACTAACCGAACTAACTTCTTGGTATGCAGCCTCGTCACGTTTCTTCTCCCGTTATCTCCAGGGGAACGACGGGACTTTCTGGGAAACATGGCCAATGCTGATTTCACTCTCGAGATAATAACGAGAGACGACAATGAGGAGGGCTGGCTTGGTCCACTCATTCATGACCGAACCACCGCCATCATGGAGCTATTGGACGTTTTTCCAATTCACGAATCTCAGCTTCTGTTTCGTCTCCCCGTCATCAGCCCACTCTTTAAACGGAAGACCCGAGTATTCCCTGCATTGGCCACCTCGGATCCGGACTTTAAACGTTGGCATGGTCGGTTGGCCAATGATGCAGCAACTGTCTCTCAATGGCGGGCATTAGGCCTCGACCGATTTATTTCTCTGTGTTTGGAGCCGCCAAAACCTGATCCCGAGCTGTTTAAAGCCGCCATCTGCTTCTGGTCCACGGAATCTAATTGTTTTGTGCTCCCATTGGGGTCGATGACGATCACCCTGCTCGACATAGCGGCCCTGACTGGCATATCAAAGCCGCGTGTGCAATCAAGGAGAGCCTTGGACCCAGCTACCTCGATAGCTTTTGACCGATCCTACGAATCGCTCTACAACAACAACGCGCCAGTCATTCCGGGTGAACCCGTATCTGACAGCGAGCGGGTTGCCTTCCTTCATTACTGGTTTGGTCGATTCGTGCTTTGCACCCAACGACCCATCCCGGATGCGCATACCAGCTCTGCAATCTTCACCGGCGAGTGCGTCAATCTTGATGAAATTGTGCTCTGCCACCTCTATCGCGGTCTGTACACCATCGCGAACCGTGTCAAGGAGGCTCCAGAAGCATGTGGCATCCTCAGTGCTGGCCATCTATGGCTACTACAACTTTGGCTGCATGCTTATTTCCTGGCGACTCGCGGCCCTCTACCAGCTCTACAAACGGCAGTTCAAGATACCACCATGCTCACATATGGCCATTACTTGGCTAAAGCAGCTTTGCGAAAGGGGACTTTTACAAATTATTTTACCTTCTTTTATGAGGTCCGAGAGATTCCCAGCTTCACTCCTTTCGCGGAACGGAAATTCGGCCCCGCTTCTTTCAAACTCGTTTTTGACAAACCACCACCGCGAGGTGATCTCGTTGCCGCTGCTTATCATGAATTCACCGAAGAGCGCAAACGGTACCTAACAGCTCGGGACCTCCTCTTTGCTCCTACCGGCTCAGAAGTACTCAGTATTGAGACTTACAACCCTCAACTTGCTGCTCGACAATTCAATCTCGTTCAATCATGGCCTATGTTACCACCCTTGTCCTTGAATTTTCCACAATTCCACATCCGCTCTTCGGAGCTTACCGCTGGACAAATTATGGAGGTACGAGGTTACCAAGAATCTGCACAATACTTTCCTCCTTATAAAAACGTGGTGAATAAAGTCTCGCCCCAGTTCAAGGATGCATGGAACTCACTAGCCTCCCGCATTTTCAGCAAGTCGTTATCTGATATCCTCGCCCGGCTTGCTCCTGACCACGATGGTGGTTCAACTACTTCAGCATTCAATACTCACTTGAAACGGCGAGCAGGTATGATCCTCGTCCTCGCACTCCTCTTTATGCTTGCTGTGACATTCATATTTTAACTCCCGCATTACTCATGTAAGTGTTCGCCGCCCTCTTGAAACCTTAATTATTGCAGTTGTGGAGAGTCATCATCAACTTACTCACCCCCCTCCATCTCTTCGCACCACTCCCGTCGTCGAGGTTAGCTTTACTCATGCTTTCTCATACTACGCGACTACGCGACCATCTTTTAGCTAACCTCCTACTCACACCCTTGCTTCCTTTTGCAGCAGGACACCGCCGATTTTGACACCAGGTACGGCTTCAACACTGCGATGGAATCATCTAGCTCACTCCCCGCGTCACCCATGGCTGAACTTCGACGCCGAGTCAGACAAGCATTGAAGATGATGGACCAATTTCTTAGCATTCCTCTGGTGACTTCCATGAGTGACCAAACCATATTATGGCCTGGCTCTGCTTGCAAAACTCTGGAGACCTTGAGCATTAACATCCCACCACTTAGTGATGCTTGATGCTCTAAAACACAACACCTAACAATGGCCAAGTGTAACCAATGAAAGGGACTGCAGTATAGTGGCACAAGTAATAAATATCGAATCCACGGGTCTCTAGAGTTACTATTACTCAGCTTCAGTTCATTATCTAGCAAACTAGATTAAGGGTTGATTAACTAAACTACTCTACTAACTCAACTAAGTAAAACTACTAATTACAGTTTGGGAACTCACTTAGGTATGATTTCCCCTAGCTCCTCAATTAGGTCCAAGTTGTAATTCCTTTTGGTTGTTTTACTGTTGATTAAACTGCGGAAGATCCGAAAGTAGCTTGGAATCTCTTAAGCTGACCAAGCCCTCTCAGTCTAACTATCCGGCAGACGACTAGTCTTCACCGGGATAGAAAGCTGAAGCAATAAGCACAGAACTCCACTACTGGAATTGGATTCCAGTACAAAGCAGTAAACTGGCTAACTCTCGTATAGCCAATCTCCTACTATCGAATGATGAGACTCTAGCAACCTAATCAGATTCTATCTATCTCAGATTGCAGCAGGAATCAGGAAAAGTTGATCAGACTTCAATTGACTCAATAAACATGCATCATTCGATTATAATCAAACAATATAACATCCAAAACTTCATACAAGAAAGATCCTAACTCATGGAACTAGGGTTCCTCAAAACCTAAGTGAAAGGAAGTTACTCCATAGAGAAGAGAGAGACTGCAGAAATCTGATCTAGATCTTCAATCTCCATCTCCAAGCTTGATTCCCGAGCTCCAATGGCGAAGAAATCCTCCAAAATAGCTCCAAGAATGTTCCCAAGTCGCTCTCTCTCTCTAGGGTTCGTCCCTTGGGTGTTTGGGATCCAAAACCCAGCTCCTCCTCTTCTTTGGTTCGGAATTTGGCTTAAAACCAGGAAATCCCGACTCGCACGGCCAGGGTGCACGGCCGTGCATATCACCATTCTGGCCGTGCAACTCAAAACGCAGCGTGTCATTTAGTCGAACTTCAGCCCTCTCGCACGGCCAGGGTGCACGGCCGTGCGAGCTTCAGGGGTTGCCCGTGCGTATCCTCGGCATAAGGCGCACGGCCATATTGCTCACGTGCACGGCCGTGCAGCCTCCCTGGTCTGCCCGTGCAGCTCCCCAAAAACCTCGCCATTCGTCCGTTCTTCGTCCAATCGACCCCAGACTCGCTCCTAAGCCTTCATTCACGTACTAGGACCTGAAACATCACAAACAAGCACAACCTAGCGTGAAATCGGCCTAAAACACGAGAATCAACACCTCAAACGGTGTAAGAATGGGGGTAAAAACATGTGTAAATGACGGTCTATCAATGCTGACATGGCGTTCCTCCGCACAGTGGGTAAAGACCTAGTGGAACGCGGGAAAGCCGTGGCACCAGCTCTGCGGGTGGTTAGAGCAAGTACAATGCCGACTCTCGTCAAAGGGGCTGAACAAATGCGACGTGAGGATGCGGCCAGGCTCGCCACTGACCCCACTCATGCGGAGATAGAAGCACAGGCTGAGCTGCAAGCAGTGCAAAGCTTTTTCATTCGGGTCTACACCACTCTATCCCGCATTGCCCAGCAGCTCACCGATCACGAGCCGTCCGACTCCTAAAGAATTTCTTTTATGCATTTCGGAATTTACTTTGGATTTTTTGTTTTGGCATCGTTTCTCGAATTACTCCTATTTGCCATGTTAACTCGACCTATGAACAACTTTTTTTGCTCATCATTGTTTATCTAATTTTGGCAAACGGCCGCTCTCTTTTCTTTAATCTGTAACGTCGCTCTAACCTCGACGGCTGTGTTTGAGCATGGCTGACTGGCTAGTTCTAGCCACGATAGCCTTCTTGATTTTTCTCATGCCAAGTACCGAATCGTCCATGCCCAACAACGCTGTTACCCATGCCTACTTCTCGTGCCAAAAACAGCTTCGTTTGATAAAGTTGGAACATTTTGGTACCGAACAGCGGTACCGCACCGGCTGGACTCGAGTGAACCCTGCCGCTGGCCTTAAAGGCATAAAATTTTTTATTTATTGGTAACGAAGCTGGCGAATTAGTTTATTCGTTGCCTACTCCGCGCCATTGCCGTACTATTCAACCACGTTGTGAGAGCTTGGTGGCCGTCGAGGCCCCACCCTTTTAGCACATGGTTGATCGTCATTATTCAGATTAATGACCAGCTGCGTCCCATAAAGACGGCACATATGGCTTTAAATATTTGCCATTTATCAAACGCTCATGCATCACTCCATCTAAGTCTTTTAGCAGGTACGCTCCATTAGGACGCACAGAATGTACCACAAATGGTCCACGCCAATTTGGCAACCATTTTCCAAACTTGGGATCTTTTTCCCCAATCGGCAAGTGAGCTTTCCAAACCAGTTCGCCCTCCTCGAATGATTTGTGTCGAACCTTCTTGTTATAAGCCCTTGCCACTCTTGCTTTCTGTACTTGCACATTATCGAGGGCGCGTAGTTGTAGCTCATCAAGATCGCAGAGCTCGAGCATCATCGATTCATGATACTCCTGAGTTGTTAACTCGTGCTGCTTCATATACCGGAGTGAGTTGACAGTCACTTCAACGGGAAGGAATGCTTCATGCCCGTAAGTTAGCGAGAATGGACTCACTCTCGTACTGCTCCGCGGGGACATCCTGTATGCCCACAACGCTTCTGACAAAATTTCGTGCCAACGTCGCGGATTATCCTCGATCATCTTCGTCAAAATATTTTTCACGACTTTGTTGGATGCTTCCGCTTGCCCGTTAGCTTGTGCGTAATACGGAGTGGAATGGATAATCTTTATCCCCCGCTCCGCCACGAACTCCATAACTTGCCCCCCAGTGAACACAGTTCCTTGGTCCGCCGTTATCGTTGCCGGCAAACCCAATCGGTGGATAATATGTTCTTGTATGAAAGAAATCACTTCCTCTTGGTTCGCCACCTTCAACGGTTTGGCCTCTACCCACTTAGTGAAGTAGTCAGTGGCCAAAATTATGAAAACATGTTTCTTTGACGATGGGGGATAAATCATACCAATCAAATCCATGGCCCAACCATAAAATGGCCTCGGATTGATTATTGACTTCAGGTCAACCGCCGGCGCCCTTTGAACAGGACCGTGACGTTGACAAGCTTCGCAGCCCTTGGCATATGCGGCACAATCTGGCCCGATGGTGGGCCATTAGTATCCATAGCGTGTAGAATCCATCGCATGGAAGGACCGGCTTGGTGAGCTCCGCATATCCCTTCATGCACCTCTGCCATGGCTTGCAATGCCTCCTTGCCCCCCAAGCATTTCAGCAATAACCCATCAGGTCTGCGTTTTTACAAGGTCTCATCCAAAATTACGTAGCTCCTTGCTCTAAACTTGACGGCATGGTTAACAACCTTGTTCGGATCTTGCAAGTAAGACAACAGTGGTGCACGCCAGTCATCGGCGTCTTTCTCTATTACGCAAACCTGCTCGACTCTCAACCGCTCCCGCAGGGGCTTAAGTGTTTGCACCACTATCTGTTCTACGGCATTGCTTTTCGCAAACTCTTTAAATCCCGAAGCCATTTGTGCAAGATAGTTGGCTTCTCTATTATCCATTCGGGGAACAAAGTTGATCGACATACTGTCGAAGTGGGTTGTCAACGACAAAACGTGATCCAGGTACGTTCCTAGAACGCTGTTGATACAGCGAAAATTGCCGCGGACCTGATGAACCACCAATTGTGAATCTCCCTTAACATCCACGTTGCGGACTCCAAGCTCAATGAGCATTTCCAGCCCAACTACCAAAGCTTCATATTCAGCTTGGTTGTTGGTGCAAGGAAAGTCTAACGAGAATGCAAAATGCATGGCCCGGCCTGATGGTGCTTTCAACATCACGCCAGCTCCAGCACCGCCACGAGTTTTTGATCCATCAAAATAAAGGATCCATGGCGTTATCCCAACCTCGCAGACTTCTACGGGATCGATTGGCACCTCAATGCAGGGATGATCTGCCAAGAAGTCCGCCAATGCTTGCCCTTTTATGGCTCGTTGGGGTACATACTCTAAATTAAATTCAGACAGAGCCAAGGCCCATTTGCCAATTCGGCCATGAATAATTGGCCGAGATAGCATGTATTTAATCAAGTCTGTTTGGCAAATGAGTTGTACCTGGACAGGGACCAGGTAGTAGCGTAGCTTTGTACAAGAAAAGTACAACGCTAAACATAACTTCTCTATGGGGGAATACTTTCTCTCACCCTCGTTCAGAAGCCTACTTAGATAATAAATGGCTTCTTCATTGCCTGCTTCGTTGTCTTGAGCCAACAAACATGCCACAGAAGTGTCCGTGGCCGACAAGTACAACTTCAGTGGCACCCCTGCTTTGGGAGAATTCATCACCGGCGGAGTCGCCAGGTATCTCTTGATATCATCAAACGCTCGTTGATGTTCTTCCCTCCATACAAACTTGTCTTCCTTCTTCAACTTCGGCAGTGAGGAAAACACTTGGGTCCGGCCAGCACAATTCGAGATAAATCTTCGAATATAGTTTACCTGGCCGAGGAAACGTTGCAACTCTTTTTTACTGGATGGTGGTGCGGCATTGATGATGGCTTTTGTTTTGTTGCCATCTACCTCAATTCCACGTTGGTTTACCAGAAAACCAAGAAAATTTCCTGCACTCACACCAAACGCACATTTGAGCGGATTTAATTTCAACTTATGAACACGCATACGCAAAAATGCTTTGCGCAAATGAGCAAGGTGATGGTTTGTCACCTTTGATTTGACGAGGATGTCGTCCACATACACTTCGACAAGCTCGCCAATCAAGTCATGAAATATTGCATCCATGGCTCGTTGGTAAGTTGCCCCGGCGTTGGCCAACCCAAACGGCATCATGATCCACTCGAAACAGCCAATGGATCCTGGACACCGGAACGCTGTTTTGTGTACATCCTCCTCGGCTATGTATATCTGGTTATAGCCCGAGTAACAGTCCATGAAAGAAAACCTGACATGCCTGGTTACGGCATCGATTAACATGTCAGCCACCGGCATGGGATACAGATCTTTCGGCGTAGCATTGTTCAAATTTCTAAAATCCACACAAACACGTGTTTTGCCATTTTTCTTTCTAACAGGCACAATATTCGACAACCACAACACATATCTAGCAGTCCTGATAAACTTAGCCTTCATTAAACGTTCAATTTCCTTTTTCACTTTAGGTAAGATATCATGCGAAAACCGCCTAGGTGGTTGTCTATGTGGCTTATACCCTTCTTTAATTGGAAGTCTATGTTCAACTAACTTCCTGTCGAGACCAGGCATTTCATGATAATCCCAGGCAAAGCAATCTTTAAACTCTTTAAGGAATTCAATTAACTCGTACCTATCAGACTCTGGCAAACCAGCACTGATGAAGGTTGGGCGTGGATCCTCCTCCGTGCCGAGGTTGATCTCCTCTAAAATGTCACATGCAGCAAGGTTGCTTTTCTTCTCCACTTCGTCACTCACACCCTCGTCGTTAGTCGGCAAGTCATCATCGTCGGGAACACAGTCGGCCATCAAGACAGGCTCTATACAGGCCAGCCTTTGTTCACATTGATAGACGGCCAACTTCTCCAGCAAGGCCGTGATCTCGGCCTCCACCACCTTTTCTCGAGGTGGTTCACTCATCATTGACTTGTTCATCAGCTTTCAGTGGACCATCCAATGTGATCATCGATGGTCTCACGATTTCGGACAATGGGTCCAAGCACGCCTTACTCAACACCTGTGCACTTGACACTATGACGTTAGGAGTTCCTCCATCCCCACTCCTGATTTCGAGTGGTCCAAAATCTCCATGGTACAAATAAGCTTCAGCCACGTTGGCCCCAACGGCAAACGGCTTTGCGTCAGCCTGGACCACTTCAACAATACCGTCTTCATTCCAGAGCATCAAACACTGATGCAACGATGAAGGAACGCACTTGTTGGCGTGGATCCAATCCCGCCCGAGTAGTGCATTGTAACTTATCATTCCATCCACCACGAAGAAAGCACTCATCCGCTTTTGTGACCCAACTCCCACGACAACTGGGAGGATTCCCCTGGCAGAAGTGGACCCGCCATTGAAACTTGTCACAAACACTTCCGTTGGGATCAGGTCATTAGCACTCTTGCCCAACTTCTTCAGCATCCTTGTTGGCATCACATATACTGCGGCACCATTGTCAACCAAGACCCTCGACATTGGTACGTCATCAAGTGTGGCCTTGATGTAGAGGGGTCTCAAATGACGCGTCATCTTCGGCTCGGGCTCGTTGAAAACAACGACCCTGTTTGATTCCTCACCCGTGGTTCCTTCGTCCACGGCTTTCCCTTTCGCTTCTGCAGCTCGGAGAGATTTCTCCAGCTCGTCGAAGTCTGACCCCCATGTGATGTTCTCCACTGTCACACTTGTTGACTCTTTCGGGCCTTGATATAACACATAAAAAGGATATCTTCCCCCATCCTCGCCCAGTAGCCCAACAGCTTTGTGGCCAGCTTCGTACAGCTCTTTCAGGATTCGCTGCGAACTCTTGTTTTGCTTGGCTGACTCCACTGCCAAGTCAATTCGACCATTCGTGCGAGCCATCATTGCACTCCACGGCTCAGCCTCGATTGGCATATCCGCAGATTCGCCAACCAGCTCTGCCGCCGCTGGCTCCTCATTCTCCTCCTCTAAAGTCAATTGAGCAAAACCGCTCACCAGCTCAGCGACGTTGACCTCTTGAGCAGCCTCGTCCAACTCCTCAACCTCCATCACGACCTCGCCATCCTCTCCCTGATTTTCCAAATCAATGTGGAAAATCAGAGGCAAGATGTAGTTGTTCACCATCACCGGTGGTAGACTTCCAAACTGGATCGTCATGGGTGCACCTTGGTTGTCATCATCATCATCCTTGTTTTTCCGATCGAATTTCGACTTCGCCTCCTCCAATTCCAGCATCTCCTCTTTCCAGTCATCCAACTCAGCATCGTACTCAGCCTCTCCCGGGACTCCCTGATCGTTCCCGTCCAGGTTGTCCTCGACAACCTTTCCAGCACCGGCCACAGTCACTCTCAGACCCGTGGCAGAGTTGTCTACGTTCACATTTGCTTGCAAGTTTGCAATCCTCCTTCCTTGAGCATTCTTGCGGAGGTACCTTTGATACTGCGTCCTTGTCATCGCGTCAACTGCGATGGGCTGCTGACGACGGACGTCGTAGGTGTGCCAACCACCCCGTGGCACATTTGGCATCCTGAAGGTTCTCCTAACAGGTGGGGGAGCTCTCACCGGTTGGGCAAGTCCAAAAGGTAGACTTTTGAAAGGCGAGGCACTTTGAGCAACCCACTGCCTACGCTGCCCTCTTCCCCACGCAGGTGCACGTACTCCTTCGACGCTGCGTTCATATGAGGGATACCTCGGTTTGAACTGTCGTGGTCCCAATCTCTGGTGGACCGACTGGCTCGGTCCCACTCCCCCAATGGTTAGCTTTCCGCGAAACTGGGCACACAACTTCTCTTCCTCAGCTGGGTCCAAGCGTGGCCACTCCTGCACTTGGGAGGATGAAGCACCCTGGGCCACATCAGAACTACCACTCGGCGGCGGCGATGTATCCACTACCAACTTGAAGCGTGGCAGGTTGATCTTAGAGAAATCGGGATTGACCATGTTAACGCCGACAACGTTTGGGAACGGGTCCGTGTCAACAATCATGGCCTCCTTTCTCGGCTCTGGGAACTTGAACCGACCTTTCTCAATTGCATCCTGCACAACATTGCGAAACACAACACACATGTTAGTTGAATGAGATGCACTGTTGTGCCATTTACAGTATCGTTTCCCTTTTAATTTTTCAGCTGGCGGGATAGTATGCCCCCCAGTCAACTTAATTTGACCATCTTTGTAAAGCTGGTCGAAAATCAATTCTGATTTTGAGACATCGAAGGAATATTTTCTAGTTTGAATCGGAGCACGATTGGGCTTTCCACCTTGTGGTTCCCCCTCGGCCTTGGCTAGAGAAGCACACACATGTGGCTTCCCCTGCACAATCTCGGCCAAATCAACTTCAACCTCGTCAACATCGCAACTTCAAGAAATCACTCACTTCACCACATTGAACCGTGAATCGTCCAACATGCTCGACGGTGGACTAATCCCCAGTCCCGCTGAAGGTGATGAAATCAGGCACGCGAAAACCACGTGGAAAGGGGTAGCATCTATCAACCCAATCCGGATATGGTTTTCGATACACCGGCGGCATCGCTGGTCTAATCCCTAAACCAAACTGATCCGCCAGCATCTGTGCTACTTGATCTCGAATCACATTAATGTCTTGCCCCCCGAGTTGCCCCCCTTGTGGTACGAATCCACCAGGATCCATGCCAAGCCCGTTTGGAGGAGGAGGCACGTTTTGTGGGTAGCCGCGTGGCGGAACATGATCATTGTTGATCGTTCCTCCACCACCAGCACCGCTCATCGGAGCCACGTAGGGTCTGGCCTCCGGAATATCTTGTGGACCCACATTGTGCACTGGTGGCGGCTCAACACGAGTGTTAGCCGCGGTGCTGGTCTCGCCAGGATTTACTCTCGACGGACTTGTTGGGTTCACCACCGGTGTCGGCGAAACGCCCTGTCTCGGCTGAGTATCTCGGCCGCCATTGATCGGAAAGCTATTGGTGCCAATGTCGTTGTGTAACGGATTCTTGCCGCTTAACGGCAAAGCCCTTGTTTGCGGCACTGGCCTATTCAAAAACTCTCTAAAATCATTAAAATCACGTCTGTTACTTTCAAAATCCATTCTGTTTTTATCTACGACTTCAACCAGTTGGCTAACACGTCTATCAATCCGAGAACTAAGACCATCAAGACGTCCATCCAAAGAGGCTAAGTGAAGTTTTACCTGTTGGTTATCAGCCATGACTTGGCGAAGCATGCGTGTTATCTCACCCTGGTTGGCAGTTTGCGCCACTGCTGGCACTTCCCCTCCGGCGTCGTTGCTCGAACCGCCGTGTGAACCGCCACTCTGGTCAGTCTCTACATTGACCATTGGCTCTTCCTCCACTGAAGTTGGTGGAAGATCGCCCTCGTGATTCTTCCTTCGCGGAGCCATCCGAACACACGTGTCCCACCAGGTGTGCCAATTTGTTTCGTTGGCGAAACTCGCGTGTCCAATGCGCACTGTATTCAAGTAAGCACAAACACAAAATCAGCAAAATCGTCAAATATCCGCCGCCGAAGTCGGTGCCGTTGATTTGATCGATTAAAGCAGAAACCAAGACGATCGTCAAATATCCGCCGCCGGTATCGGCGTCGTTGATTTGATCGATGCACCTTTGACCTCTAATCAAACAACCGTTACTCGGTTCACCACCTCTCCAAACTACGTTCGAACGAGGGTGTTCAACGAGAAACGAGAAACCAAACCGAGAGTATTCTGATTTACGTTACCTCTACTCCTATGGAGGTTCCTCTGGAGAGCTCCGCGACTACGACTACAAGCTATGACTACGACTCTGCAAAGGAGGTCTTTGACAGAGCGGTTCTACGAAAACTAGAGAGAAAACGATAAATTCTGCGATGGTGCAGTTGTGATTTGATTTTGCCCTCTCGAACTTCTCTCTCTTCCCAATCTTTATACTTCGCGCTTCTCCTCGTCGTAGTAACCGCCTTCGCGCCTTTGTCTCCCACGTCTTCACTCCTGTCAACCGTGCAGGCAACTTCCTCCTTGTTGCGTAACTCCCATGAGTGCGAAACCGCTTGAGCACGTGGCAACTTGGTCCAAAACGACACTGAGCCGAAATCCACCATTGCTGAACTCTCTTCATCGCGACGTTGTTTTTAATTAAACAACACCGTTTCAGTACTGCGACGGTGTCGACCTACCACGATGTCGTTTTCGGCTAAAGCGACACCGTCTTACCTGATCCTTAAAATATTAATTAATTAAACCGGCCATCATTGTTGACACGCTTTCAAACTCTCACTCCGCGACGCCGTTCTTAATTAAACAACATCGTTTTCTATTTCTGCGATGCTGTTGAACTTTGCGATGCCGCTTTAAATTTAACGCTGTCGTTTTAACAACTGCGGCAGTGTTTGGCCCACTCGCGACATCGTCTTTAAATCCGCGGTGTCGTTCCTTCTTCTTGCGGCATCGTTTTCAACTAACGACACCGTGCTAAAAAGTCATTAAAAATATTAATTAACTAATCTGGCCATCACTAGTCCACGACCAACGACATCATTAGCGCCAAAACGGCTCCGTTTGTTTTTCCTTTTGCAACATTGTTTTTTATTAAACACTGTCATTTGCTTGCGGTACCGTTGGGCTTCCTCGCGGTAATGTTTTTAATTCCTCGGCATCGTTTTAGCTCCCCTCGGTGCCGCTTCTTCCAATCCAACAAGGAATAAAAATAATAATTAATTAGAGAAAACTCCTTCTCCAATACCCACGCGCGGCCCTCTTGTTTTTCGGTAAGCGGTGTCGTTTGCAGTACCGCGGCACCGCTGAGCTTCCTTGCGGTACCGTTTTAGTTCTCTGCGACGCCGCTCGACTCCCAACGATACCGTTTTTTACGCGCGGTATCGACTTAAATGCCGAGACTAATTAATGCGGCATTTAATTCTGGTCGAATTAATTGTAGGTGTCAACAAATGGGACATCAAAACAGAGGTAAAACGGCTATCCTTGTACAACCAAAGTAAACTATTCTGATGCGATATGCGGATTACAGACACTCTGCTAGCTCCCAGGAGCTGATTCAGAGGAACAAACAAACTGCAAACAGACATGCACTGTACTAATAGGTATTCATTTCTTTCTGGAAAAAGACACAGGCTTTATCCTTGCCAAAAATTCAGATACCCAGAAAAAATATTGAATACTAGGTCTCCTGGAAAAGGAAAATATGAACAGACCGTTTTTCCAATAGCTCAACAAGGATAAAAAAAGACATAGTACCTGCCTGATTGTGCGTTGCATACTTGACTAAAGCTCAAAAACTTTTAGACCAACAGCTATATTAGATCTTAAGATTACAAGATTATACAAGCCCTACGGTTTATACATACATCTATTATAGCTACGAACAAGAATACAGCCTCATCCACAGACCTGGGGGCTGGGGGCATCAGTTGATAATAACTTGTGGAGGAAGGTAACCTCTTGGATTGAGCTCTTCCAAATCAGACCTTTCTTCAAGAACAACAAGTTTCACGATATAGTCACTGCCCAGTTCACCGTGCTTTCTCCGGACTGCCTCGAATTCCTGGCCCAGTACCTGCTCTACCCACTCATCCACAGTCCTCTTCTTATCTGATAAGTACTCCGCAGCAAGCAGCTGCTCCATGAACCTTCGATCGATATCCAGATCACATTCGGGCCCAAAGAAGTTGTGGAAGCACTTGTTCAATTCTTTTGAGATTCGGGTGGCGAGTGCATCAAAGTCGAAAGGCTTGAACATCACTACTCTATCGACCTGACCAAAGAATCCCTGTAACCATGCCCTAGAGGAATGATCATCACACACAAAATCATCACTCTCCAGGTTCTCGCCTTCCTTGCTCAACAAGTCATCATTTTCTTGGGCTGGAAGAAGGTTCAAGTCCAGACCTTTCCTGGTTGATGCATTGTCGTATGCACGTTTCCTTTTATTCGGAAGTCCCGGTGAGCTTGATCTGCCATCGCTAATCACTGACAGACTCAGCTCGCTTCCAAGTTGTTTTTTCTCAATCGATATCAGCATCGGCCAGCCCTTAGCTTTCATCACCTTCTCCTCACAATATCTACTCAAATCTTTGTGAATGCTATAATCATTTACGGTTGAAGTTGTAATGATGATTGCATTACTGATGGGAACTTCTCTCCCATGCGAATCCGGGAACCTTCCTTTTTGAATTGCACGAGACAAGCTGCTCTGGACCTGAACATCAGCTTTGTCGACATTATCAAGTAACACAACAGATATGGGCCTCTTGCAGAGCTCCCCAGCAACATAATCAACCACAGTTTTCCCCCTGAACATCGAATCATTGATCCCATCTTGAGGGTTCAAGTTTGCATACATAAAGTTTTCCTTGCTCCCATAAACCATCTCGGCAATCGTAGTTGCAACTTTCCTCTTACAATGCCAGTTAGGTCCTAGGAAACTGAACCATATGTTCTTGCCCCTCATTCTACCTCCATCAGGTCTCCCATCTCTAGCCCTGAACTCGGATATGGTTTGGCAGATGGAGAATATTGCATCATCATCTTGCCAGCCGACTCTTTCTGAGATAACCCGACAAAGATCCTTGAGATTAATGGGCTCGCCATTGGCTGCAGGAGGAGAACTTATACAAAGTCCAAGATCAGTTATCACAGGAGCAGGAGATGCCTGACTGCCATAACACGTGCTTGAATTGGACAATAAACTATGTGGAGAAGATCTGAAAGCACCACCTGAATCTTCATTCAAAGGCTTATGATTGGTAGCATTAGTAGGAATGAGAGGGAGACAGCAACCAGCTGATTCACTTCTCACTATCTGATGTGAATCAATAGCAGCAGATGATAAGCTAGGTTTCGAGTACGTATCCGCGATTGGCCTTGAATATGCCGTTGTGCAGCAGCTGTAATCATTTTCAGAAACTTCCCTTTGAGTGTCTTCAGCCAATTGAAAGCCCATAGTGGTGGGAATTTGAGGTGGATGAATATCAGAACCAGGAGGTGACTGCTGTTGATGAAGGCTATGGCACATACTATCATGCTTTTCCTGCAGACTGACAGCTCGGCATCTCAATACATCTCTATCATCTCTGGTCTGCACTGGAGATACACAAACGCGTTTACGATTCCTGAAAAAATACTTCTATGAAAGTAGTTGATACTACTGAAATTGCAAATGCATCGATATAATACTAATCAGGTGAGCCCACCAATAGGGATGGCCTTCAAATTTAGGTTTTGTATAGTTTTGATAATTATTACTAGAATGTATAATATCAAATGTTGCAGACATGGTTTGCTACATTTCTGGGTTGTGGTTGAACAGATTTTGACAAAATTCTTAATCCCATATCTAAATGTCAGGATTCCATGGCCATAACCCAAGAAATCTTGTATTACGAAAAAAATGCACATTCTTTAAGAACAGGATCAAAATCTTGAAACCAATATTCACCTTCATAATCATTCCCTCCTTCTCTGTGCCACTTTCAGCAGTCCGCAACCATGAATGTTGGCCAGATTCATGCTGATCTGCCGCCGAGGGAACTGATGAGACTCCTTTTGAAACAGCAGCAACTTCTTGCCCGTTGCAGGGATGAGAGAGCGTTGTCATATAGGGGTAAGGGCTGCTGCCTAAGGGAACCTTGAAATCTGCTGGCGTTGAAAAGAAGCCACCAAATGGAATGAATGACTCCATTAAACTGCAGAGGGACCAAAATGCTGTCAGGTTTATGTGACCAGCGAGTACAAACGCAGGATGAATACCCAACAGAAAGCGCATCAATAAAGCCTACACCTTTACCACTACACAGAAGATAGCTACTACTCGGAAGTTCCTCAAGAAGCAAAGAAAGGAACAAATTGCAGGAAGAAAGAGATCACTGGATGAGCTCACCTGAGTTCACAACTCCCCAACCAGTGAACTTCTGGTAAAAAGCACGCGGCCGAGAGTTTAAAAAAAACTATGATTTTGAGCATTAAAGCTAATATTAAGGTGGGAAAAAGGTTAGCCCAGTTCCTGCAGTTTGTCAGCAAACTTGGAACTTTTCAGTTAACTTAACTGGCCTCTACTAGAAAAGTAGAATTCACCTGAAGTTAACTAACCAGTGCAAAGTTCAGGTATGGAGCATATATATTGTCGTTAACTAAGCAGTTATCTATCTCCCAGTTCTCTCATAATAGTTCCTAATTGTTGCCAAGCACATAATGAAGTTTAAGCATATCATATCAGTGTTTTCACCTGGACTTAGGGTAGGAGGATTCAGCAGCCATGGAAGAAGATGTAGTTATGGGCAAAAGCTGCAAATCCCAGTCCTTTGCAACCGAAGGGAACCTTTCCATGAACTTGGAATACGTCTCGTAGCTCGCCGCCGCCCCAATCAACCACAGCTTACTATTATCCCGCAACAAGCTGCTCGTCAATTTCTCAACGACATAACTCACTCTTCCATCAGCTTCTTCTTCATCTTCTTCGTCGACCTTCACAAACAGCTTCAGATCTCCAAAATTGAGAACCAACCCGGGTCCGGAATTTCGGTCCAGCGACCGACCCACTTCCTCGAACCTCGAATCGACGGCTTCCTTATCGGAATTTCGATTGAGAAATTGGGAAATCTCGGACTCCAACCGAATCACGGCTAACCCGGACAATTCAGGGGGCAAGACGCCGCCGTCGCCGCTGCTATCGTCTCTCTTATCTCCAGTCCTCTTCTCCAGTAATTCGATGAAGCTGGCGAGCGTATCGCAAGCGCATACGCCGAGAAGCAGAGGATTCCTCCCCTTGCTTTTCCCCAAAACCTCCCCGATCCTCCGGAAGTTCTCGCTCCCGCCGCCGCTGAAGAACCCGGAGAAACCGGGGAACGGGAAGCTGAAACCCCTCCGACCCGGACCCGGATCCGAATACGCCGGCGGAGGTCTGGGGTGGAGATGAGGGAGGACGGCGAGGGGGCGGAATACGGCCAGCTTGATGTCGGAGCTCCGGAACCCAGCATCTGAGAATACCCGACTCACCACCGGGTCGTCGAGAATAGCCATAATCAGGTTCCTGAGATCCACCTTCACGCACGAAATCGAAGACGATTGATTATTGATCTGCTGAGCGGAAACCTGGTGGTTGTGATACAAATGGAAATTCTCCGGCTGGCGCCTCTGATTCGCCTGAGACCGCTTGATCGCCGCCATGAGCGAATTCGACACCGGCGGGGATGCCTCGTCTCCATCGCCTGCGGCGCCGGCGGAAGAGGGGAGACGGTCGAGGGAAACACCCAGGCAAAGGTCGAGGGCCTTGAATTGGAGGCGAGGGGAGTAAGCAGAGTTCCTGGCGCGTGAGCACGCATCGCGGAGGACGGAGGAAGGATGCGACAGGAGGGAGGAGACGGCGTGAAGCGACGTCGTTTGGCTGTGCCGCCTCTTCTTGGCCACCCGCACCGCCTCGTCCAGCGCGTGGGCGGCTTCCGGGGTCAAGCATTGCCTGGCTGTACTCACCGGCGTAGGCATCGCCGCCGGCGGTGGGGAGGGCGAGGAAAAACCCAGCAGCAGCTCGCTATTTTAGCAGGTGGGGAAATTGGAAATTGTGTTGGATTAATTAATGGATAATAATGGGTTTGATTAATAAAGAAATGGGAAGAGAAGATAAGAGAGAAAGACAAGAGCTTGAGATTTTCTTTGGGGGGCGGCGGCGGGAGGGAAGGTTTTTGTCCTTTTGGAGTTTCCTCCTCCCCGGAATATTATAATTGAGAAGGGGGCTTGAGTGGTTTTTAAAGTAGAAAAGAATAATGGAGAAGACGGCGGCGGCGGGCGACGGTGGTGGTGGCGGAGATTTGGTATAGATGAGAAGATCTTTGGAGAGTGTAGGGAGATAGAGAGATGGTGGTGTGGTGTCGCGGCCACTGACTTGCTTTTGGGTGGTGGGACGGCGACAGTCCAAATGTCAAATGACCAATAGGGTTGGGGGAGTGCTACTAATGTGCTAAGTATTCTCCTGCAGCTGAAGTGAACATATCTTTTTGGCTTTCTATTGTAGCTTTTTTGTTGTTTTGTCAAACTTTTTATCCATCTTTGTTTAGCTTGACAACTTTGGACAGTCATCATTAGAATTGCAATTCCAACTAGTTTTATCGGGTATTATCCGGCCTGATTTATATTGAGGTGAGTAATGAGTATTACTTTCAAACGACTATGCTTTGCTCTTGATTCATTTTAAATCAATTTGCTCAATATCTATTTGTATTTCTCTTGTTTTGTATTTTCTTCAATCATATTTTAACTTCTCTAAAACTTTAAATTGGTGCACGATTTTATCTTTCGGTTAGTTAGACTCAATTATTTATTATATTATTACTGTTTTTCATTCATATAGCGTTTTCTCCATTTTATTGGAAAGAAATTACTATTACTTGAAAAAAAAAAAAAAGAATGTTGCGGACTTGCCCTAGTACAAGCTCCTCTTTTCATTCATAAAGTGTTTACCAACCTGACTCATGCTTACAAGCTCCTCTTTTCATTCATAAAGTGTTTACCAACCTGACTCATGCTTGGTGCAGGACGGATATTTTGAGAAGGATTGTTTTTTTTTTAGAGGTATGCATATTTTATTTTGTTATAAAATATTTTTATGATGTGGAATAATTACATATTTTGTGTTGGGTTGCGTTTTTACTTAAAAATATCGCCAACCCGACCCAACCCAATTAGAAACAAACTGTAGGGTTTAGATTTTTTAGGGTGGGTTTGGGTTTAATATTTCCCAAACCGTAGTGCATGGGTCGGGTGATTAAAATGCCTAAACCCGGACCACCTGACCCATGTACACCCCTAATAAAAACTATTCACAAACATCCCAAGCAGGACGGACCCAAGCAGGAAGTGGGGACTTCCTCCCACCACCACAAACATCCCATTCTTCCTATGTAGTATTTATCTATCCGTAAAATATACCACTCGATTAATGAAAAATATGATTTATTTCAATGTTTTATAATAAGTCGCATTATAGAGATTATGAGTTGTCAAATATTGTGATTAGAGTTATCAAATTGTCGTTGTTCGTATCTTCCCAATAACAATATTGATTTAAGCACAGATTACAGTAGATATGTGCAAACTGTTTAAGGCAAGAAATGAACTCGGATTGGAGCTAGAGAAGAAGGTAGGGGCGTGCAGGAAGCTGTTTGAATTTCAAGTCTTGTTGTGTCGTGTTGATTTATTTGCTTCAGTCCTTAATGTTTTGTTATGTATCGTTTGAGTCTTGTTCGTGTTAGTTAGTGGTTGCTGAGTTTATCGAGTATGTTAATGAAACCGCGATCATAGTCTACAAGCTTGACTACCTCCATTCCAATCGAAATTTTTGTAGGTGTCATTAGTGCCCACACCACACCAAGTGTCCAACATTGGATGAATTGTATACATTCGGTTGGAGTTGACATTCATTACATATGACTTACTAGGGAGGGAAGTAATGGAAAAGACTAGAGCATCTCCCAAATATATTTTATGCAAGCCTTGATATGGCCATGACCTCATAAATATTTGTGTGGGAAATAATAACTACAACGACAGATCATATGTAGATTGGTTGGAGGAGTGGAGAATTTGTTTTTGGATGGATGCCCAAAATAAAAATATGGGTAAGCAACTGTCATGTCTGATTCGGTACGAAATAAATTATGAGAATTTCAGTTCGATAGTCAAAGAAGGAACGAAGATCAGAGCACCATTACATTCAATGTGGTTTAATTCGATTCTAATGTCAATATCGTCTAGTTTTTTTTTATGTATTTTAAAAATTTACGAGACAAAAAATCCAAATACAAGATATTCAGTATAGTCCATTTCAAATGCCAGTTTAATTTGGTGCCCTCCAATACGGACCAAACCGTTGAACAACCCTTAATATAAACTAGAGACTTTTGGGATGGAGGGTCATTTTCAGACTGCAATATCATGTTCTTTTGATGCCCTCTCATAGGCCCAAAAGTGGGCAGGCACACACATTCGTGCCCCCACCACTCACAAATCTAATCTATATATATCGTGAGAAATTATTGGTCTACCACTACATATTCCCAACCAATATTTTCAACGATAAATTAATGGGTAAGTAAAATCTATGAACAAATATTTGGTGGCCCAAAAGAAAGTTGCGGAAAGGTAAACTTTGTGATGGAGATGGGACAAAGAAAATGAAAGCAGGAAGAATCATTGTGCCCAGCCCAACCCGGCCCATATATATCCGAGTTAAATTTGGATTTCCCTCTTTTTCATAAAGCAACCGTGTACATTTGAAATTGTTACGGTATATTAAAGATTTATTACTCAACTTTTATCATCAATTTGAATTGTTGGAATCAATTAGTTCTAGATATAGTATTACACATTTTGTGATCGGACATGTTTTCTATCTGAATCTTAACGACCTCATTTGTTAAGCACATGGTATTCCAGACCTTTGCAAACTTTTAAGCTCATATGAGTTACTTTCATTTGAGAATGTGTGTTAGTATATAGTACAAGATCCATTACTGAATCTCTCCAAAAAAATCGAGTTATTGGCATCAACTAGATATTGACAATTATGAAAGAGCCTAGATCAAGCACATCAAGTTGGGTAGATTTCAATTCCTACAAACAACGCAAGGTACAGACTAGGCGTTGGTAGAACGGCCTCTGATACTCAAGTCAGATGTGGAAATTCGATAGGTTGTGAGGTTGTAATTGTGACTTTTGATTTGTGTGAGTTCAGGGGCGGAGGCTGAGGGTTAAAGGGTGGGTCCCGGGACCCACCCTGATTCGGGATGAAAAATGGTCAATTAAGTATAATAGTTAATCGGGTATGAAAAATAACACGTATTTAAATGAAGATGGTTGACCTTTCAAATATTTGATGTATGCTTTATAAGTTGTGCATTGACATATTCAATGTTTTTATAACGAGCTATGCACAAATGATAATGGTGCATATGATCCGCCTAAAATTAAAGATGTATTTATTCAATCTCTACAATAATTTTCCACCAAATCATAGCTAATTTGTAAAAATAATTTATTTCGATCAGGGATAGAGAGAGTGTAACCGGCGGTTTCTATAAGGACGAAAATGATTTAATTAGTATATAGTTAATTGTGAATGAAATTTACGGCACTTCTAATTGAGAATGGTTGGCCGATATCTTATTTGTTCGAATCTTTGTAACCCCATTTGTCAAGGACATGATATTCGAATTTACAGAAACTTTAAGCACGTATAAGTTGGTTTTTGCTAGAAGGAAAGTGTTAGTCAATACTAAATAGTATACGTTTCATTATTAGATCTTTGATCTTTCACACCAACTCGAGTTATTGATGCTAAACGGTCTCGACAAAGAACAACATTCAAAAGCAAAAGTCTAACTAAATCATAAATAATTTTTTTAATACGTATATTCTTTATAGTTTTGACAAATATTTAATTTATCAAATTTTTGTAAAAACAAAATTATATCAAGATAATTTGAAAAGCTAACGAATTAAATTATTTTATCGTATATATTTTTGCTATATGGTCTCACCCTCAACAAAATCTTGGCTACGCCCTGTGTGAGTTACTTATTTTGTAAGGAAGATTATGCATCCTTTGCTGATTTACATCTCCCTATCATCTAAGCCTGAACCCATGCCACCAGCTGACTGGTATAATCCTCTCATGCAATTGTTCCCTTCTCAACACAGGGAGACTCCGGCCGTCTTCCTTCAACATCTAGGGCAACATTAATTTGAATTATTGGACATCAACTATTATCAAAGGCATGAGTTCCTGCCTTCCTGGTCAATCTAATCTCTTAACTCTAAATTAGTTCGTGAACAGAGATGGTCTCCGAATACTAAGAAACTTGTACATGGCAATTGAGTTGAATTGATGAACTACAGCTTACTTTTACTCAAAAAGACACAATCAAATTGGTAGGTTTTGCCGTGTTGGCATTGTCACCCAAAAAGAACTCGTACAATAATGAAGAGAAAAGCAATTTTACACATTCATCTTTTTGTAATGGGACAGAGAAAGTTTCACCCTGAAGTGACGACCTTAAGAGAAGGCATAATTTTGCGGTTGCAGTAAGAGAAGCATATCATCGATCTACCAAAATATGATCTTTCCATCTCTGTTATTTCCCACTTTATAATGTGCACAAAGTTTTCTGTACGCACTGAAAGCAACACATGAGAGTTCCCTTCGTGGTTTGATCTTTTCGTGGCAAAATATTCACCAAGCCTTTTTTTTTTGTTTTCACAAAAGTTTTGTAGAAGGAATATATAGTGAGGTGTGTGAGCGTCAAGGTCTTTGTACAAATCCAACCTCGAATGATCGTTCTCCATTATATAAAGGAGTTGGGAGAGCTAGTGCGAGCTTTAGTACTGTTATATATTCGTCTGTGATGCTTGCTTATGAAGGTAAATGAGTTGAGTTGTCCGTGAGCGATTCCATGTTTAGATTGGGAAACTCAAACCAAACTGAATTTGTT